CATGTGGCCCTCTAGGTCCTCAAGTGGGGCCCTTTGACTGAATCCAAACTTCACAGAACAAATCTCCTTAATAAAAGAATTTGTTCTGTAGAACTTGGACTCCTTCAACAGGCTGCACCGGAAGACCTAGATGGTTCAAGGCTGCAGGTTCCCCTGGTATGGTGGTCCTGGTATGGTGGCCACTCTTGGTCCTAATCCCAATAATGGTCAGCATAGAAGCTTTAACCTATTCTGCTTTTCTGACCTGAGGTGATTTGTCTCTCCATAGGCAGCTGGACTTATTTGTGAATACCTGATTGGCTTTGGCACTACTACAACTCAGAGTTTCCAAGCTCAAGTGATCCACGGGGCCTCAGCCACCCCAGCAGAAGGGGCCACATGCAATTATATGATCATGTCCAGTGAGGTATGAAATCTTGAGAATTTACCCTGCCTTCTTTTTGGATGATAACCCAACCACAGCACTTTAAAATGTGATTCTTGGAATGTGGAAAATAGACTAAGTATTCAGGGGGAAAACTTGGTCACAGAAGTCACCAAAAATTGGTTTAAAAAACCTCAAGAGTTCTCTATCTTGCCACAGTCAAAAGGATAAAAAGACCACTGTTACTTACTATCTATCAAGGGATGGTTAAATTCACTAATAATGTTGAATTTCTAAGGGATAGTAATAGTTTAAAAAAAAAACCCAACTAATTACTTTTCATGGCCGTTTTCCTAGAAGGCCTATCCTTTGTTTTAAAAGCCCACCTGTGAAGGAGTTTCTACTCCCTGAAATTTGGAGCTAGAAGCTGTATCTGTTCTTCTCTTTCCAAAATATTCCAGGCTCTCCTTCAGAAAAAAAAAAAAGAAAAATTCAAATGGGTCTCAACCAGGTACCAAATAGTTCTCAATTGTTTCTTTTACTTAGTTTCCTCATCAAAACACACTTAAGGTTTCTTTTCCTTTTCTTTTCTTTTCTTTTTTACTTAAGATTTCTCCTGGAACTAATGACACCTCTGTTACACTAGTCAATGTTGTTTGGGCTGAGGCTATCCAAATTTGGAGTTCCAGAATGCATATGTTTGATGGGGCCTACTAAACCCTTATCTTTCTTCTTACTTTCTCAGTCTCATTTATATTTCTGTAAATGTCACAATAAGAATCTTAGGAGCACAGTTAATTTGGGGGGTGAGTAGCAATAGCTCTGGTTTACATAATACCTGTAAGGATGCCTATAGATCTTTATAGATTTAATTTTTTTTTTATTTAATGAGTTTTAATGTCATCTTTTGTGCTATAAAGGAGATGAGCTGTTATCTTCATTTTACTGGAGAGGGGGGAAGTACTAATGTGTCTAAAATTCAACAAATAAGTAGCAGAATTTAGAATATAACCCACAAATCCTGGCAGCTGGAGAGAGGCATTGGTCGCTCGAAAGACAAATCTCATTCAAAAACCTTAGAATCATAGGCATAAAGGTAGGCAGCAGGGCATATATTTACTGAGAGCTCGCCTCAGCGTCAGTCAAATGTGACAGCAAGGTTGTACCATAATGCACAAAGCACTGGGCTTGGAGGTAGGAAGAACTACATTCAGATTTGGCCTCAGACACTTACTCAGTCACTTAACTTTTGTTTCTTTCTGTTTCCTCATCTGGAAATAAGAACAGTAGTAACACTTACCTTTTAGGGTTGTGATGAAGATAAAATGAAGTGATTTCGTCATCAGCTGCCAGGACATATGATTTATAATCTAAATCCTGCTATTTATTTGTTGAATTTAGACACATTAGAATGTCCCCCTCTCCAGTGAAATAAGGATAATGGTTCATCTACCTCCAAAGATTAAAAGATGACATTAAGACTAATATAAAATACTTAGCACAGTGCCTGGCATATAGTTGGCACTATTTAAATGATAGCAATGATGGTGTGGGTTCAAGACCTGCCCATGGCCCATATTAGCCATGTGACCCTGGACAAGTCTCCATGTCCTTAGGCAAATCTTTAAGACTATAAATTGCAGAGCAGGTACCAATTTTCATTGGTTGATAGAATTTTTCACTAGGAAATCCTTGTACCAATGAAATTATAGGTCTGGTTTAAAATTTAAAAAAGGGTCTTAAGAGTTGAAAGGTATCTTAGACATCATATATTCAATTTCCCACCCAAGTACTATAACTCAAATAATAATTTTAGTAGCATCTAATCTCTCTCAATGGTTTTTCAGTCCTGGTAAACTCTATTGAAACAATCAGCACAACAATATAGTACTTATTAATATATTTCATACCTTTGCAGTCTTAAAATGATCACTAGCAATAAGCCAAATACAGATCATAGTTCCAGTTCTACCTAGAAAAGAAATTAATTAGGTGACCATTGATCAATAGATAGGAGTGTTTTCAATCTCACTATTATCAGCCACTTACAAAGATTATAACCTGTGTTTGTTATCTTTCAACCTAAAAATACATATCCAAGACAACATGCTTCAGAAATAATCAAACATGTCACAGACTTGAGCTTGTGTCCAGCCTGCAGGCTTCTAACTCATCATTTCTCCCTACAACAATAAGAAGAAGAACCACAATAGGATTTGTATAGCATTTTAAGGTTTGTAAGGCACTTTAGAAATATTATCTCATTTGATGCTCTCAACAACCCTGGGACACAGATGCTATCATTATCTCCTCTTTACAGAGATGGAAACTGAGGTAGACAGCAGTTCAGTGACCTGCCCAGGGTCACACAGATAGTAAGTATCTGAGGCTGGGTTTGAACCCAGGTCTTCCTCACTCCAGGTCCAGTGCTTTAGCTCTCTTCTGTGCCACTTAACTGCCTCAGCTAATATTTTATAATATTTTTCCCTGCCCTAAGTCTTTGTTAAATCTCTGTCATTCTTAAGGTCACGTATTTCTTCTGCTGGAAATTATCTACCCTACTTTGTACTCCTTCTATGCTTTTATTATAAAGAGTGTCCCAAAGGTCTCAGTGCACTTTTAAGCTTTAATAACTTTTAATCTTTAAGTTAATAGGCTTTAATAACTTTAAGCCTTTATATTGTTAAAGCCTAAAACTGCACTGAGACCTTTGGGACACCCTGTATTTCAATTTCTATTACAGTCATTTGTGTTCTTGTCTTATCTTTCCTACTATTGTAAGCTCCTGGAGCAAAGAGGCCATTTCTTATTCATTTTTCTATGAAGCCTATTGTGTGTTTCACTGGCAATGTGTTTCAATGGACACCGCTGAATATTTGTTTGTTGAATTGAAATGAACCTACTTGGTCAGATATAGTTTGATTCTACAATATACTCAAAAAGGGGTTGTTGGGAAAAAGGAAAAGCACTTTTCTGTTTGGTCTCATAGATGCTTCTTATCTACAGCTAAAGAGCTCTATGATATCATGCTTGGCACCCAGCTTAAGTAGCTGACAGTCGAAGTTCCATCTCAAGTATCATCCTATAAAAAATATCTGTGAAGAGTTATTCAAAATCCTTTAAGAAATGGAATGGAGAGAGAATATGCCCTCCTCATGTACCACATGCCAAAGTTATCCTTGTTCCAGCATGATAGACACGTGGTTTCCATGTTTCATCTAAGTACAATATGTTACCATTGAATGACATTTTGAGTTCTAGGAAAGTCTAAATCTTCACTGACTATATTTAAACCAGGGGAATAAAAAGACCCAAATCTCAAAACCTCTTATTAAATGCCTGTTATATATAACAGGAGATTCAAACAATAGCTCCTTCTTTAAGGACCTCGCTTTCTAGTTCCCCAAACTAGCCTATCATGTGAAAAGTGAAGCAATAAAATACTTAAATGGCATATGTGCACTTGCTGTATGATCTTCCCAGAAAATATGGAGATTCAAAAGAGAAAGAGGTCACTTTAGGCCAGTGTGGCCAGGAAGGACTTTACTTGGTCTTCCAAGATAGAGTCTGAGTCATGTAGGATTTGAATGGATGTGTCATAGGAAACGTGGGAAATGGAGTTGAGAGTTATTGCCATGTCAACAATAGAGGATAGAGAGGACTGGGCTTGTGATTTCATTAATGTGGGGAGTTCCCTTTGCCAGTGCAGATCAGAACCTTCTCTGTAACTTAGAGTCCAAGAGAGCTACTTAGAGCTGTTGTTGCTTGTCCTTCATTTTCGAAGAGGATTAGTGACATCACAGGGTGATGTCCTGAGTTGCATATGAATTGAATTTAAATGAGGCAGTCATCAGCCTCACTCTCTCTTCCAGAGTCATTGAAGTCCAGTGGCAAGACAAAAAGTCAGGACTACTGGTGATGGCCTGGGATGCAGCGGATGACCTTGGTGTCTGCTTTAGCCACCTTCATGGCCCTTGGAACGTACTGAGAGCACCGAGGAGGCAAAAGACTTGCCCAATGTCTCACAGTCAATATGTGTCAGAGGTGAGTTGAACACAGGTTCTCCTGGCTTTGAGGCCAGACCTCTATCCATTATGATGTGCTTCCTCCCTGTTGTCTGTGATTTAAAAAAAAAAAATGTTTCTATCAGTCTGTAAGACCTCCATGTTCACACACAAAATTTCTCAGATATATTTCAAACACACTAGCCAACTTAGAGCATTCTTGTTATGTTCCCTCTGGAATAGAAAGTGTCTAATTTTCAAATATGAGGACACATATAGGCTTCTTTTACCTAATTCCCACCTTGCTCATTGGAGATCCATCTGACTAGGAAAAAGAACTAAAGATGCATTTCATGTCTTAATCAGAATAAGGAGAAGGGGCTGCAGGAGCATAGTTTTTCCTTGGTCTGAATTCATAACTCTACATGAAGAGACTATGGCATGGAAATTCCCTTGAAGCCTCTTTTTCTTTCAATTGAAGATCAGTATAACTAAAGAAGTTGAATCTAAGAGCCAGAAAACAATATTACCTTTGCCTCCCATACAGTGAACTACTATGATATTATTTGGGTCCTTTTCCATCCATTCAAATACACTGTCCACAAATCTCATCACGTCACTGGTTAAAAGCAAATGATTTGTAGTTGAATATAAGTATTATTTTGGAAAATCGAGACCACCCTCCTCCTCCCCAGTATTCTCCCTCCCTCAGTAAACTTGGAATACAACCTACATTAGGGTGGGAACATTGTGATCATCAATAGGGAATCTTTCTACCCTGTTATGGAAGTATGAATGGTTATAGCTTCTCTCACCTAAAACAGATAACGGAAGTCAAATTTATACATCAAACTTACATATTAAGTTTACATCAAAATTTTGTTTTTTAAATTTTATGCTCAAAATTTATTTTGGGAAGTTGCATTTTAGAAATGGTGCTAGCAGAAGATGATTAAGAAGACTACATTTGAGTAATATTAGTAGTAATAACAATACTTTGCCACTCTCTTCAAATACTAGTGCTCTTCTATTCCAAGAAGCTCAAAGTACTGTGTGTGGGTTACAATGGACCATAGGCTTTCAGGGCCCTTTCCAGCCTTGACATTAGCAGACATGTAAAAATGGCAGTTCACTTAGCCCACCTAAGAATTTACTCACATAGGGAACTCTATCCAAGAATAGTTGCACCTTGCCTGAAGGAAGGTTTGAAACTTTAGGAACATGAGAATAGTAGTAGCATTAGTGGCCCAATTATGCCCTGAGGTCATAACTCTGACATGTAAAACTTCAGCAAATGGCTCATGGTACAGTGCCCACCAGGACCCATGACAGAGATAAATGCAGAGGTAAATTTCAAGGGATAGGAGCAAGAAAAATATATTCATCTATCTGAGTTCTCAGAAAAAAAAGTACAAAGGTGGTCCCAAGCCTAATTCTCACCTATGTATCCTTGCATCAGAATCACCATGGAGATGGGGATTTCTCTGCCCCTCCATCCCCCCTATGGTCCCCCCTTTCCACACATCCCTGTTCCATGACATCAGTGGGTAGTTGGTTTTGAGAAAACATCTCCATCTGGGATATGTGAGAAAGAGTTTATGTCTCTATGGTGATTCTGATGCAGGCATACATAGGCTTCACCTAAAAAAAGTTCAAGAAAGATCATTCCCTATCATTAAGGAGGCAGAGAGGAGTAGAAAGGGAGCTGAGTTGCAAGTCAGGAGACCTGGATTCTAGTCCTAGATCTCTGTGTCACTTTGGGCAAGTCACTTTATTCCTCTGGGCCTCAGTCTCCCTAACAGTTAAAACTGATGTGTAGCATTTAATGATTTTTAGAGTTTCCTCCAGCTTTAACGGTTTGCAAGTTTTTAAGCAAGATAATTTTTCTTATATCCCTTGTATTCTTTCCTTTTTATAACATTTTGATTCAACACTGACCTTCTGTCTTAAAAAAAAAAAAAGCCAGGCCCAACAGAACAGAAGGCCTTTAAAACTTAAAATGGGAGTGAAGGCAAGATCCTTCAGAAATAGTCAGTGGAAGAAAATGAAATTATAATGAGGAAGGAAGGAATAAGCATTTCTGAAGTACTAACTGTATGATAGTTACTATGCTAAGTGCTTAACAAATATTCTCTCATTTAATCCTCATAAGAACCCTGGGAGGCAGGTGCTATATTTATCCTCATTTTGCAGTAGAAGAAATTGAGACGGACAGTGGTCAAGTGACTTGCCCAGGGTCACACAACTACTAAGTATCTGAAATTGATTTTGGACTCAGATCTTCCTGTTTCCTGGTCCAGCATTTGATCCACTACTCTTTCTACCAGCCTCACATGAGACTATAGCCTCCTAGAAGGCATTGACTTCAGTCAACAAGCAGTCAATGAGTTTATTAGTTAAACTCCTATTTTGTGCCAGGCACAAAATTTTGTGCTAAGTGCTTAGATTCAAAGCAGAATAATGAAACAGATAATTCATACATACTGCACAAATTGTAGATCTTGTAGTGGCCTGGGTGTTTCATATCTAGGAATTTCACAACTTCCTAAAACATATACAAATATGTATATTTTCACATGCATATACATAATAAAATGTAGAACACTTGCTAACTTCAAAATGAATAGCTGATTATTAAATGATTAACATAATGATTATACTGATTCTCACTTAGTAATTTTTAATAATAACAGGTATTTACATGAGACTTTGATTTTACATGCCTGATATGATTCGATCCTCACAATAACCTCATGAAGTAGGCACCTCGGGACTTACCTTCATTTTGCAGATAAGGAAACAAAGGCTCAGCCAAGTTGAATGACTTGCCCATGCTGGTAGCACAGCTAATACATGTCACAGGTAGGTTTCCTTACTTTAAGTGCAGCACTCTGGACAGTTTCTCAAAAGAAAGTATAGAGAACAAGAGTGCGTCCTCACATTCACCACATACCAAATCCCTCTGACAGGGAATAAGTCACCTATGATGGTTGTTATAATTTTAGCTTGCCACTTTGGCTAGGAGAGAGGCGCTCATTTGACCTTGCAAGCATAGTCAGTAAGTCATCTTTCTTATGCAAATTGTCCCTGCTCTTATTTTAATTGATCAATCCATTCAGATTGATCTTTGACCAGCTATACTCTCATATGCTTGGTTGATGTATCAAAATGACATTAAAAAAATACAGTGTAGGGGCAGCTAGGTGGGGCAGTAGTGGCCCTGGAGTCGGAAGGACCTGAGTTCAAATCTAGCCTCAGACACATGATACTAGCTGTGTGACCCTGGGCAAGTCATTTAGCCCTGTTTGCCTCAGTTCTTCATCTGTAAAATGAACTGGAGAAAGAAATGGCAGACCATTCCAGTATCTTTGCCAAGAAAACCCCAAATGGGGTCATGAAGAGTCAGAAACAACTGAAAAGGACTGAACAACAGCCGGTCTTGTTCCCACTGAATATTTGCATGAAAGACTAGGGGTTAATTTTTAAGAATTCTGTAACCAGAGCTTGGCACAGTATCTGGCATATAGTAGGTGTTTAAGAAATATTTATAGACCAACTGCAACTTTTTCCTTCGATGTTTTAATATTCTATGGAGAAAGCATGAAAATACCCTCTAAAGAACCCCTTAGAAATGTTATGTTTTAATATCAGAGTCAGAAGGGCAGGCTCTGAAATCCTTCAATGAAAACCCACATCCCTTCCTTCAGGGAGATGAGAGGAAGGAAGAACAAAAGAAAAGATGGTGGCTGTAGGACATGGTATGGAGGAGCCAGAGAGTCCAGTCCTAGAGCCTTAATGACAGAAAAGTAGGCATAACTGAGTCACAATAGGTCAGGAATACGATCACTTGATGGAATAGAGAAGAAAAGCAAAGGGAGAAGGGAAGAAAACTTAAAATTTACACAGGTGAAATTTGCAGAGGTGCCCCAGAAATGACCAAAAAGAAATGAATAGGAGAAGGGGTGCTGGAGGTAAGGAAGGAAGGGGAGTTCATTTTGGTGGTACCAGTGAAGAGATGATTCTCAGAGATAGCATAAGCTGGCCTACAATAAATCAAGGACTGTCTATATTGATATCTCCCTTGAAATGTAAAATTGCAACAGACTCATTAGTCTATTTCCAATGAAAAATATAAAATGAGTTACCGATTAAATAATGTTCTTTTACCTTAATGGGGTTTCTATAGAGTGACCGACTTCCAGATGATGGGAAGGACATGGCAATAACATTATCTGAAAGTAAAAAGCTATTACTCCTAGTAAGAAATCATTAAAATTATGAAATAAGATTTTACAAATACATATATATGCATATTTAATATGTATTTACATTCAGACCACTTATGTTTAGAAGCCCCTTTTCTAATAGAAAGTTTCTTTCAGGGAATTAAGAGTGACAGAATAGAAACAAATCAACACTGGGACCAGATGTGGATTGAGATTTGGACAAATTTGTGGAATAAAATGATCATTTAGCTCCATGAGTTTCAAGGGCCATCTAGTTCTAATTGAATTCCCTAGTTGAGGCTAGTTGAAAAAGGATTTGTATCTGCTTTTATCAGCAGTCACCTTGGGAGGGGAAGGGGCTCTGACTAATATTTCATGTCTGGTGCCCCAAGGACTTTTGGAAGACCAAATCAGAGCTTGGCCTCTATAATGGTTTTGGTAACTTTCCTTAAGCCATCTGAGATTGTCTCCAGCTTATCCTGTATGTACTTGTTTGTCCATATTATCTCCCCCATTTCGTTGTGAGCTCCTTGAGGAAAGGGACTGGGTTTTTTGCCTTTCTTTGTTTTCCTAGCATATAGCACATGCTTAATAAATGCTTTTTGACATGACTTCCACTGATCCAGGAACTTCACAAAACAGTGACCAAAATGCCTGGGAAATCCTCAAACTGATGAAGTCTTTCTGGAGTCCCTGGACCTGATCAGACTTTTACAGACCCCATTCTAGACTGGACTATTCTTAATCCAAATTTAGGAAATTTGACAGAGAGTAGAGCAGCTTTGAAAATGCTGTCAATTAAACATCCGCTCAACTTGCTTTAATGAAACCAAACCCTATAAGTAAGGTAAATCTCAGAAGAGATGTGATAGATGATTAATTGGACCCCTATTTTATTCCAATCAGTATGAATCAGTTTGATATGATTCCATAGGGGTGGTGAGTATAAGTTTTGATAGTGGGCCTCAAAGCAATGAACTGCAGATTGTAAGTTCTCTTTCTAAATCATAGTAAGCTAACTAGAGGACCTCTACCCTTGTTTTTCCTTGTTATGGTAGCCAACCCCAGTGTGGCAAAGGTGACTCAATTACATGGAAAGTCCTCTAGCTATTTTTATTACCCTTTCATCCCTTGTCATCCCTCTATTGCCCAACATGGGAAGATGACCATGAACACATAAACAATAAGTGACTCTGGTTGTCTGCCTGCGGCTTGCCTTTCTACCATCCCATAAGTGTGCTCATAGGGTTGGTGGGATCTCCTGAAAGGTGAAGATAGGTCTATTAAGGTCTGTTCACTAGCCTGTTTGTTAACCAGTGGAATTTTGTATTTTGTGTAGACCTTCCTAGAAGGTCAAGGGCAAAGTCTACCCATATTGCCCTGGTATCAAGCACTATAAAACTAAGGCCCTGGAGGAAGAGGGCATCTGAGATCATAAGGAAGATCTGAGGTCCACTTCATTAGAGGGGACCATGGACCCTTTAATAATGTGCCATTGGCTCAGAACTTTGCCTCAGAGGTTTTTCTTTCAGATTAGGTAATTATAATCCCCACAGAGAGTAGGAAGAAAAGTTTACAAAACATGTTTGATAATCAAATATCTTCTGATTGAGAGATAATAAAAATAATAACATTGATTCTCCCTTTCCACTTTAACACTACCACCTTTCTCTCACTTTTGTATATGTATGTATTCTCTCACCCCCTTCCATTCTATATTTGCCAGAGCAGAAGAGAAACTCAGTAAGAACTAAGAAAGGTTTTCTGAATGCAAAATATTTTAAAAAAGCAATCTGGTTTGGATTAAACCAAGGCAAAATATAAACTGAATTATTGACAAGGGAAAAAAATTTTTAAGTTAGTACACGCAAACCAACAAGCCATTGTAGATGTAATTTTATCAAGCTGCACAAACTAGTAACGTAAGTGAGGTCCAGGTCAAATCCATCTTTCCTATAACGTCTTTTGTTTTCTGAAACCTTGAAGAGAAAAATGACAGATTCGTTAAATATATGCCAACCTAAAATATTACCTAGATATCTGTCATCCTTGCCAGTACCTCCCAGAACAGGAGGCAGCTATGGATAGAGTACTAAGCCTGGAGTTAGGAAGAACTGAATTCAAATTAAGCCTCATGTACTTAATGGCTGTGTGACTTTGACCAAGTCACTTAACTTTTGTTTGCCTCAGTTTCCTCAGCTATAAAACAGGGACAACAGCCCCTGTCTCCCAGGGTTATCGTGAAGCTCGAATGAGATATTTGTGAAGGGCTTAACAGTGTCTCGCTCATAGCAGGCACTATGTATATGGCCTAGCTAGAATAACAGATATACTTTAAAATCCAAAAGAGGGTTTATCTACTTACCAACTTTCTAGCTGCTTTTTCAATCTTTTTTTTCGAATTGGACAGCTGAAATACTTTTATCAGAATAAAAAGTCTTACATATTTAAGGAGTAATGTCAACCTAACAATGAACACAAAAGAAACAATTTTGCTTGAGAACTTGCAGTTACTGGCCAGAAAGAGTCAAAGGCTGAAGTTCATTTTTTACTTAATCTGCTTGCACCCAGGGGGACTCAGGAAGCCTCCTTCAGATGGGAGAGTTACTGGACCTAGGCATTGTTTTTCTGGAAATTTCACAGTTCCCAGCATATAGTTATCAGTGACCTCATTAACTCCAAAGCCATCTTAAGCCAATAGAAGTTGAAGTTGAAATGTCCAGATTATGGCATAATATTAGACCAAAGACCTCAGTTCCTTTTCCAGTTTTGGCATTTAATAGCTATGTGACCTTCAGAAACTCATTTAACTTCTATCAACTTCAATTTCTTTCTCTGTAAAATATTGGGGTGGGGGGGAAATCATACTTGCCCTCCATAAGTCACACAGTTATTGTGAGCATCAAATGATATCATTTGTCAACCATTAGTAATAATAACAATGCAGTATGCAAGTCAGGGACATACGAGTTGGGGATGTTAGAATTGAAGCTTGACGTGCCTTGATTACCAGAAATGGAATGTTGTGAACAGTAAACAGTCAGTCAACAAACATTTATTAAGTGCTTGGTATGTGCCAGGCACTGTGCTAAGCACTAGGAATAATTATTATTTTTAACCCTTAGATTTGCTTTATTTACTGGTCCATTTTTCTACAACAAATACGTCTGAAATCATCTATAATAATTTTTTTTTTTACCACATTTCCAAAGGAAAGGGATTATTTCTGCCCCCAATACAGCTCCTCACAGAGTACTTCTACAGCACTGGGAATATTTATAAAAAACAGAAAGGACCGTCTCTGCCCTCAATGAGTTTGCATTCTAATGGGGGAAGACAATACATAAAATGGAGCTGGAAAGCAGGGGAAAAGGGGGTAGGGGGAATCACAAAATCTCAAGAGTTGGAAGGGACCTCAGCAACATCCCTGACAAATGAGTACCCAGGATCTGCTTGAAGATTTCTAGTCAGTCGGTCAACAAACGTTATTGAGCTCTCACTATGTGCTGAATGCTAAGGATACAGAGAAAAGAGAGGAAGGGCTCACATTCCTTGAGACAATATACAAATAACTACGTGTATACACCATATTTACAGTGAAAATAGAAGGTAGTCAGAGAGGGACAGAATTGAGGGAGGCGGAGGAAACACCATATAAAGATCTACTATAGGAGGTAGGGTTTGAGCCAGGAGGGGGGGAAAGCAGTCCAGGAATGGAGGTCAGCCAATGTAAGTGCATGGAGTTGGGAGATGGTGGGAGAGTCAAGTGTGAGAAGCAGGAGGCCCAAGTAGCTGAATTAAAGAGTTAATGGAAGGATATAAGGTATACTCTTGAAGGGAAGACCAGAAAGACAGGAAGGGGCCAAGCTGTAAAGGATTTTAAATGGCAAATCAAAGGTTTTATATTTCAGCCAAAAAGAAATAGGGAGCCACTGGAGTTTATTAAATTGGGGTAGGGAGTGACGTAGTCAGACCTATAATTAAAGAAAACAACTTTGGCAGCTGAGTGGAAATTGGACCAGAATGGGGAAAGACTTGAGTCAGGGAGACCAACCAGGTTATTACTGTAGTCCAGGTGTGAGGTAATGCGCAGCAGTATGGCAGCTGTGTGAGTGAAGAGAAGGGGGTCTATACAAGAAATGTGGAAAAAGGAATGATAAGATTTGACTATTGATTGGATATGTTGGGTGAGGGCAAATGTGAAGATGAGGATAACACAGAGGATATAAGAGGGTGGTGCTAACCTCAGTAACAAATTCCCTGAGAAGTAGGAACTATTTTCATCCCCATTTTATAGATGAAGAAACTAAGGAAGACAGAGGTTAAATGACTTGCTTAAAGTCACACATCTAGGAAGGAGTGTCTGAGGCTGGATTTGAACTCAAGTCTTGGTCCAGCACTCCATCTACTGTGACACCTAGCTGCTTATATATACCCGGATCTCTATATCACTAGAAAGATCTCAGGAGCAAGAAAATGATCTTCCAAAGAAAGTCAATATACAGTGATACTCAGTAACTTCAATGCACAGTTTGACATAAGAGAGAGAGAGAGAAAAGTATGTTGGAAAATACAGTTCAGTGTTAAGAAACAGATTGTTTGTAAATTACTATGATTACTTGTAAATTACTGTGAAACTATCCACCTGTCATGAATACTTTCTTCAAGAAGAAAGTTGGAGGGTACTGAATATAGTGAACATTTTTTAAAAAATGAGATTAACTGCAACTTAGCATACAGTCAATGATTAATTGCATATGAAAATTATTTCAGAATCAGCTATCTATAAGCAGACCATCAGTTTATGAAAGCAAAAATAAAAATCAAGATCAAATTAGAATAAGGGGTGAAGAAAAAAGGAAATGATATATGCAATTGCAGTAGTTCTAATATAACCTAGGCAAGCAAGCTATGACACCAAAAATTGAGAATTAGTCCTAATAACATTTCCTATAGAAGTTTAGCTGATGTAAAGCAGTTGTCACAATAAGAAGGCCAAAAGAACCCAGAAACTGCTTCAACTAGTGGCAATTTTTTTTTTTTTTTTTTTTTTGCCAAATGGAGAGACTTTGCAGCCAGAGACAACATGGTTTAGAACATAAATCCATTTGCAAAATGTTTAGGAGAAAGATACTAAGATATTGTTAATGTCATCACTTCACAAAAGAGCACAGAGTAGCAGAGGAAACTGAGTCTCTAGAAAGCCTCACTTAGACCCAGCTAAGATGAATCTCTCTGAAAACATTGTATCATATACTTCAGTGAATTCTAGCAGGATGTAGACTTAAATGTTAAAGAGAACTATTAAAAATATGAAGAAATGGAATGATGAATTTCTTTCAATTGTGTGAAGATGATTTTTTTCTACTCAAAAATAGAAGGAATCATTAGGGGTTAAGATAGATGCATCTGATTTATTAAAATTTTAAAAATTATACAAGTAAAATAATTTTTTAACAAAGAAAAATGACATATTAGGAAAAACATTACTCAAGAGAACGTTTTATTTTTGTATTTGTATCACCAGTATGTATATAGTGTCTGGCATGCAGTAGGTGATTAATAAATCCTTACTGAATTGAGTATTTTCTGAAACAATGTAGATCGTTATCTCCTTGTGTCTGCCCATCCTTTGTAACTTTTGTTTATGTGCTTCTGTCAGTTTGCCATAGGAGATCCACCCAATGTTCTAGGGGAGCTTCTTTTGACATAACGATGATACCAGTGGAATACGGTTGTCCATCAGATATTTCTTGCTTTTGCTACAAGATTAACCCACTTTTTTTTATAAGTTTCTTTGATGACATCCTTTATCTTCCTTCTCCTGCATGATTCCTTGTCTCTGCTGGGATGCAGGTGGCTCATGCCCACAATGTAACTCACCATTGCCTTTTGGGTGATCATCCTAAATTCTTTGGTGGACGTAGTGTTCTCACCACTAATCACCATAAAACTAACCCATATGAAAATTGGTTTTTAAAAGATGGACCTTCATTTTCAGGGAAAAACATATGTCAATAAAATAATTTCACAATTTCCCCAAAATAATGTGGTTCACTTTCTTACTCTTGTTTAACTCCTATCCCAGATAGTTATCTATTTGTAGTGTCTTTCTAATATATACTAATTGATTAGTAGGTTGTCTAACCAACTATATATGCCAGTCTGGAGAATAGATATTCTTTATCCACTTAATTTTTCCCTTGTGGATGGTCAATGTAAAGTCTCATTTACAAATCTGTACAATGTTTTGAGGCTAACTGAAATCAGCACAATATCCTCCACAGAGTCTAGAAGATGTCAGCACCAATTGGGAATCCCTCTTTGATTTGGATTCTGCACTGGGTCTCTTCTATAACAGCAATAAACATCTTTGGTGAGCGCATCTCACTATTTATTCTTTACTTGTTAATAATCAAGGAGCATGGGAGTTGGGAAGGGCTTCAAACAAGGATATCTTTGTTGTTATATCTTTCCAAGAATCTTTATAATTTTGACATACACACAGAGCACATATTGGTAGAGGAGGGACTTTGAGACACTGATTTATTATTTAAAAAAATAGAATCCTTTTTTAGAGTCCACAATGAAAACATAGCTATCTCTACTTTGTTCAGTCCATTGTATGCTAGTAAAGATATGATCTGCTTTGGAATTGTGGTTTCCCAAGGCTTCTTGTTCCTTTTAAACACTCTCATCAAGGATGTCCTCAATCTAAATATATTATAGATGATTCTCATAAAAAATTTTTATATAAAAGTTTAATCATAAAGTCTTAGATCTCAAGCCAAAAGGTCCCTCTAAGGCCAGCTAGCTCAACTTCCTCATTGTAGAATGAGGTTTGTAACTGAGAGAAATGATTATTAATAAACAACAATTTGGAGAGATTCAGATTTCCTTCTTTTTCTTTTATCCTCATTTCAAGACCTCAGTCTCTGAGGGTTGAGCTAAACTTTATTTCTAACCAAACCCCACCCGGTGGGGCAGCTATTGTGTTCTACTCAGGTTTGGGTGGGAATAAATTCTTTGCTAGATTGCCCAAAGCTCTTGCTAACTTAAAAGTAAATGACTTAATCAAAGTTCAAGTCCAGCCCCTCATTGTAATATTCGTTCTCTCATTAATTGTTAACAAATCAGAGTTGATTGCCACCCGGGGGAACACTCCTCTTCCAAAAAGGCATATAAACTGTGAGTCCACCACCATGATTGTCTTTGGTCTAAGAGAGAGACAGACAAATGACCATCCCTTTACTAAAATGCTGGCATTATTAATAAAATGATTAAATTACCCACTTGAACCTTTTTAAATACCACATAACTGTTGTGAGTCATGGACTCTTTTTAGTAATCTGTTGAAGTCTATGGACCCCTTCTTAGAATGATGTTTTATAAAATTAATAATTGAAACAAATGCTAAATTTTAAAGGTGGATAAAAATAGACAATTTTTTTCCTATCTAATGTCA